TTCAATACATTTGATATCATCATTGACATAACAAACAATTGCATCACCCAGGTAGTAATGATACCAAGGCCATGCATGAATGAAACTTTAACAATGTGTGTCTACCCAGATCTCTGGGGTTCACAAATAAATTACTTTTCCCAATTATCAATTATGGTTCCTTATGAATAATAAATTTGATGTTAATTGCAGGTGTCAGATTTAATTAAAATTTCCTATCACAAACATGCAAGTGCTGCGCAATTAAGCACGCTCCATAATTGTGGAAATTTTTTCCACAGGTGAAACGATTGAACATGTTGGAAGACTTTGGTCAAAACATTCCTTATCTTCCTCTCAGACCAGGCTAGATACCACCATATGGGCATTGATTGCTAATGGCTGACATTTGTGTGATTATTTCATTGTGTTATACCCCTCTAGAATAAAGTTGGCATCTGCAATTGGTTCAAAATTCTCCAACTCAGGAGGTTACAACCTGGATTGTTGTTTTGGATTTTCCCTGGATTCAGAGTTTTGAGTCCTGGGTTGCTGTCTTGTTGGTGGCACACCAACTCACCAACAACCCTACCCCATTTATTTAAATAACAAGTTCAGTTGGTCAAACAAAAATTAAAGAAAACAGAGTATTTATGAAAATTATTAATTTATATGTAACATACCTAAAGCTCCTCACAACCCAAATAACTTAGTAAGTTCTCAAGCCAGCTTCCGAGCTGGCTCATGTAAAGCCTTAAACATACCAAACAAAATCTAACCGTTTTATTTTACAGCTTCCTCTTAACATCAGAGCCAATGCAATTTCAGGGCCACCAACCCTGCTCTGAATTATGACTTCCTGTGCTTGAACGAGCTGCAGGCTCTCTTTGCTTTGATGGATCTGGATATTTACATGGCACTACAATTCATCAGCAGAGTTACAGAGCCACCCTTACCCTAGAGGTGGGACCATTGCAGGCAACTTTTTGGCTACCTTCTCTGGTCTGGGAAGATTAGTGAAAATGTCATTGACAATTGATGCAGCCTCAGTAAACTCCAGAGCCATGCCCCTTCTCCCTCGAGTTCAGTTGCATCATTGTATCATGAGAGGGAGCAGGTCTGATTAGCCTTATGTACACAAGGAACGTGTGAGAATCACTGTAAAGTGTTCAAGGTAGTGTGCATGCTTCAACGCCTGCCAATTTCCGATAATCAAACATTGCATATTTGAATTGTTTCTTTTTAAACGGTGTATTGCCTTAACATATTGTAATTATATATTAATAATAGTATTATTATTACAAATATGCAAAGCAAAATATTATTAATGAAAATCTTGTAATTACCCAGCAAGATCTGCTCCGCGTTTTGATTCCAATTAAAATATTTATAAGCTAAAATAAGACACCTCATACATATCGATACAAATAAAAAAAAGTACCTCTGGTTAGTTATTAACACATATTCTTTAGGAGACCCAAACCAAACCAAACAACAACACTCACGTTTTGTCACCTTGGACACTGTCAAAAAATAAATTGCCTTTCCAAAAAAAAAAAAAAAAATCAATCAATTTGCGTCTGTCCTATATACCAAAAAAACCAATAGGATAAATAATTAATGTGTACGCATCGATCAAACCACAAACTTTTTTCTTTTTAAAAATGATGAAAAAAAAACAATTAAAAAAAAGAAATCGAGAAAAAGAGACCAAAGATACATATGGGTAAGTGTCTCCACTCATTAAAACGCAAAAGTCAAATTTTATATTTTATATTTTTATATAATGTCACATGCCAAATTATTATCATCACTATCATCAGAAAGAATGGAATTTGTATTTAAAATTAATGGTGAAATGCGTAATAATGCTGATGCTAATGAGAGAGAAATTAGAAAAGATTATTTTTTTTCATTAGTCAACAAAAACAAGAAGCTTTCTGAAAATGAAAAAGAATATTGTAAAGAAGATTTTATTTATTATTTTGAATTAAGTAATGCAAGAAATAAAAAGGGTAAGCCTAAAGAATGGAACAAGTGTAAATTGACAAGATAATCTGATAGGTTCTGTGAAGGTTGTATTAGTTTACAATTACAGAGACTTTTTACCACTTGGACATCTGGAAATAACATAATTGATGATTTTATTCAAAAATGTCAAATGAAATCATCTCTGCCAACTCATATTTTAGAATGGATACCTTTTGAGCAATTTGAAGATATTACAAAGTTAACTGAAGGTGGATTTAGTTCAATTTTTACTGCTACATGGATAAGAGGAAGAATAGCTGATTACAATGAAAATAAAAAGGAATTTAATTATTTAGGAAAGCAACTAGTAGTATTAAA